ATCTTGCTCAATAACCATCACATCACGCACACACTCATCGTACATATTCACATGCAGGAAGGTCATGCCGGGGACAATCACCTACTTAATACGATTCGCCGTCGGTTTTGGATAGTGAAAGGGAGAGCTACGGTGAAGCGCATCGTGGGCAACTGTTTCTTGTCGTCGGCATAATGCTACATTCAGCAAACAAATAATGGCCTCGTTACCACGTTTCCGAGTACGAACAGGTTGGTGGCCCTTCGCCGAAACTAGAGTGGACTACTTCGGGCCACTTTGGGTGAGACGGAAGACGTCAATGGAGAAACGGTACGGATGCCTGATGACCTGCCTGCAGTCACGAGACCGTACACAGCATGTCGACCGACTCTTTTCATATGGCCTGGCATAGATTCGCGGGTAGACGAGGCAACCCATCAAATGTGTTTTTCGACAACGTGTCCATCTTCTTCGGTGCACAAAAGAAGTTGAGCAACTGGTTGATGCGCCCTGCAAGACCGACTGTCGCCACCTGGAACCCAATGGCACTTCAACACACACTACAACAGTCACCGTGGAAGAGTTTGGAACGGCTTATACGGTCGGTACGAAACATATTGACAGCATCATGTGAACAACAGACGCCGGACGATGAAACTTTGAGTACATTTCTGGTGGAAGCCGAAAGGATACTCAACAACCGACCGCTTGTACCCGTCACCAGTGATGACCTTCAGGGACTGGCGCTAACTCCGAGTAACCTTCTGCTATTGAGGTCCGGTGATGGTCTAGATATGCCAAAAACTATTGGTGGCTGATATACCTCGGGTTGGAAGCATGCTAACTACCTGGCACGGGTGTTCTTGAGGCGTTGTACAAGAGAGTACCTGCCAACCCTTCAAGCTCGACAGAAGTGGTTGCATAGAGAGCAGTCGCTGAAGGTTGGAGATGTTTTCCTTATGGCCGAGGAAAAGCTACAACGCGACAACTGGCCACTGGGTGTAGTCATAGAAAGCAACACGAACTCAGATGGACTAGTGAGAACAGTACAATTGAAGACATCTGCCGGTGAACAGATGCACGATATTTGACGAGTGTGTTTATTGGAGGGAGGTGACCACTATACCGTTACTTGATGGAGTTGCGGAGACCCACCGGGTATTATTTTGACTTACCTGCCCCTTGTACCAATTACGCCCCAGTTATATTCACCCCCACAGTGCTTCCACTTCCTTGCCATACGTCCCCTCTATTTCATTTTGTGGCTGAGTGTCCGTTTATCAGATTGATACACAATTTACGACATCAACCTCAAAGGTGTGACCCATGTCCTTACAACATTCATCCATTCACGTACACACGATCACCTGCATGCTGGACATGATTTCATCTGTAAAACTTGAACATTAATTACATTGCCCACGTTTCCCCTTCCTTGTTTAAATATCGGTCGGAACAGCTACAAACAGAGAGCATTGCAGTCTGATATACTAACACTTGTAGCTTCCGAGGAAAATAGGACGAGATTGCAGCAAGCTCCCAGGGATCCG